CCAGAGACCTGGTGGATCTGTGTTCTGTAGAAACTCTGACCTGGGCCTGAGTTTTTTCATCAAACTGTACCCCATGCAATTCTGCATTCCAGACCAGTCTCCTCTGAGTAGTCCTGTGCTGATTGGGGGGCAGGTCGGCTGTCCTTGCTGTGTCCCAGTGTTCTCCCAGTGTTCTCATCTCGCCCACTGCCCATGCTCCAAACACTTCCCATGGGATGGGCCCTGCACTATTCCGTTGCAAAGACTCTCCAGCCTCTGAATGGCTCCCTTTTTTCAGTTATTCTGGCTCCTCGCTCCTGCGTGGGTCCATGGGAAACCTAATAGTGGTCTTGCTGTTCTGGGGGCCACCAGGGCCCTCTTCTCTCCTGCTGCCTCCAAGTAACTCCCTCTGAGGGGCACAGCTGTGGCTTCTGCTGGCTCCTGCTCCACATGCTCATCAGCTCGAGCCTTAAAGCAGCTGCGGCCTGAAATGCTCAGAGCAGCATTTTCTTTCTATCATCGTAGTTTCTCCTGCCTTCATGAACTCCGTAGGTCTCTCCTCCTCTTCCCCTGAGTTCCAGCAGCCCCAGCTTGGCTGATGTTACATTTTTATAGTTGTAAATTTGGTTGATTTGTGGGAGAGAGTGACACTGGGAGCTGTCTATTCTGCCATCTTAACTGGAACTCCTAGGTGACTTGACATTTTCTCTTGCTGTTTTTAAGATTCTTTCTTTGTCTTTGAGCTTTGCCAGTTTGACTGTAATGTGTCTTGGAGAGGACATTTTTGGATTGAATCTGTTTGAGGATCGTTGAGCCTCCTGGATCTGAAGGTCTCTATCTCTCCCTATTCCTGGGAAGTTTTCTGCTATTATTTAATTAAATCTGCTTATTTGGTTGAAAAAGGTTTTCAATGCCTCTACCTTTCTTCTCCCCTTCTGGAACACCTGTGATTTGGATATCTGCTAGCTCTCAAATTTTCTTAGTTTTTTGGTTTTTGTTTTTCTTTTTTGGTCTGACTGGGTTATTTCAAAAAGACTAGTCAGGATCAGAAATTCTTTCTTTTGCTTGCTGTAATCTACTTCTTAAGCTCTAGGTTGCATTTTTTATTTCCTTGAATGAATCTTTCAGTTCCAAGAGTTCTGCTACTTTCTTTTCTAAGGTATTAATCTCTTTGTAAATTTCCTCCTTCATAATCTGGATGCTTTTTCTCATTTTGTTGTGTTGTCTGAGTTTTCCCGTATCTCATTGAGTTTCCTTAAGATTGTTGCTCAGAATTCCTTTTCACTCATTTCAAGGGTTTCCTGCTGTATGGGGTCTGGTATTTGAGAATTACTGTATTCCTTTGGTGGTGTCATATTTCTTGTTTTTCATATTTCTAATATCTCTATGTTGATGTCTGGTCATTTGGTAGGGCAATTGCTTCTTCTGTTACTCTGGAAGTGAGCTTTGAGAAGAGAAACTTCCTCCTGTAGATGTGTTTTATATTGACCATTGAGTAGGGTGTTTTAGTTTCGGATCTGGGTAGATGCAGTAGTGTGGTCTCTGTGTGGGTACTTTGGCCGTATTCATTGTTGGAGCTGTGTGTGAGTGCCTCCGTGGCATAGGCACTGGGGCACTTAGTGATCCCTTGCTGATGTTAGTGACACTGTATGCATTCATCAAGGAAATAGATGAGCTCTCAAGGTCTTGGAAGAAGTGCCTGGATGCCCTGTTACTCTTTGGCTGGGGTGGTATTCATTGTTGGAGCTGTGTGTGAGTGCCTCCGTGGCATAGACACTGGGGCACTTAGTGATCCCTTGCTGATGTTAGTGACACTGTATGCATTCATCAAGGAAATAGATGAGCTCTCAAGGTCTTGGAAGAAGTGCCTGGATGCCCTGTTACTCTTTGGCTGGGGTGGGTGTCCCTGGGCGGGCTTGTTGGCTCGCTGGCTAGCATCTCATGACCCTCATGGGTGCATTGGGGTACACTGGAGTGCTTCAGACTGAAAGGGTGAGCCTGGGCAAGGTTTCTCTTTCCTATTACCTACAGACAAAGGCTCCTCCTGGGTCCTTGCTTTGCCTGGTTGGGGGATGGGTTGGTGGTAATTGAGGGTTTTCTTTACTCTATTTGGGTATCTTGGTTTCTGCACTCATGAGAGGTTTCACATGTGTCTCTCCCCAGAGACAGTCCTGTGGGCTGTGTATGTACCTCCCATCCCCAGATGTACTACCACATGTGGCAGTGTAATTCCCCCTGTGGGCTGGGCCACTGGGTTGCAGGTCAGCCTTTGCTCACATCTTTCCCCGGGCTCCACTGGTGACTCTCTTTCTGTCAATACAGTTGAGTGTTCAGTGGGCCACCTGCGTGCAGCAGGGGCTGCCTGTGGCTCCTGAGGTCCTGCACACTCCTGCCATCTGTTAGGTGGGGGCTTCCTGCAGTGGCTGCTGGGGTCCCCAGGCATGTTCCTGCAGTCCAGTGGTCAGGGGCTGCCCATAGTCCCTGTTAATTCTTTTAGCCACTAAAATCTGTTTCTCCCTCATTCTTTTATCATACTACCAGAGTTGTCTTTCACGAATAAACACTTCAACTCAATCCTGTTGTTCTCAAACTTTAAAACATTTCATTTTTGAATAGCACAGACAATAACACCCTCTTTGGCATAGCATGTAAGACCCTCTACAGTTTTTTTTTGTTTTTTTTTTTTGTCTTTTTTGTCTTTTTCCGTGTCCGGCAATGGATCGCAACCCTCAGTG